ATAATCCATTTCTCCTACCTCTGTAGTGAGTGTTGGAGGACTTGATGACTTGTTGGAGCATCGCCAGGGTCCTGTTGAAGGCGGGCAGCCTCTTCTGCTCCTTGCTTCCCTGACTCAGCAGGATCCCATTCCAGCCTGCAATGGGAGGTGGGCAGCATGGCTGGGACTGGGCAGCAAACCCCACTTTCTGCACCAAACAGCAGCCCAGCACCAGAGAACCGGCTTCCCCAGACCTGGCTTGCTCTTGTCTGAAACGCCCCAGGCATTAAGGGGGCTGGTGAGCCTCCCCTGCTAATATCATGGATGTGGATCGCCTTGTCCAGGCCCACCAGAGCTCACAGATGCAGCAAATACAGTGCCACAGAGGACACGACCACCCAGAGCATCATTTTATTGCCCAAAGTGGAATTGGCAGGTTGGGTTGTTGCTATAAGAACATATTTTTTAGCAGCTTAGATATAATTCATCCCTATGAAAGCCTGGTAAACGGTTGGATCAAGCCCTGAATATTTTACTTTAGCCAGGCTGGGAGCCTCCCTTACAACCAGGATCCCTGCCTCGACCCTGCTGTCTGCCAGCCCTGTCTGCTCCCAGGAGGGGACATTCCCTGGGGAACCGTGATGCTGGCTGCCACGGTGACAGCTGCCATGGCAAGGGCTGCCACATCCCTGCAGCCCTCGGGGACCAGAGCTGCCAGCACGGGGCTGCAGGCGCTCCCCAGGGTCATGGGCAGCCAGGTGAGGCCACCAGCTGGGCTTGCCTGGATGTGTGGGGAGAGCTGGACTTAGCGGTGTAGGTCTCCTCACCTCCTGGGTTGTCTGTGCCCACTGGGAAGCAGCTTCTTGCTCGAGGACTTTTTGCACATGACAGTCCGGGACACCCAGCTCAGGCTGGGAGCACCCCAGTGTGGAAGTGTGGGATGTGAGCTGCTCACGCTGGAGCTCGCTGGTGCCTTCCCAGTGCTCAGCAAACACAGAGCATAGAGGAGTGGGACATGGAGCAGCAGATCCCTGTGTCCATCTCCCCTAATCACCCCTCTGCACCCAGCTGTGGAGCCACGGCTGGCTGACTGTGGGCTCACCCTCGTGCTCCAGTCCCAGTGCTGCTGACAGCAGTGCTCCGGCTCTGTGTTGCAGGGGAAAGCATCAGCCTCTGGCTGGGCTAGAGCAGAGAAGGGCTCCTGGCTTAGTCAGCTGCCCCATTTCCAGTTCAAGGAGATAATGAAGAGGCGCAAACACCAAGTACGAGCTGGGTTTCATCCACCCTCCGTGCACATTTGCTGGGGGCGAGTGGTGCAGGCAGCGCTGCCCAGCCCCATCCTCATCCTTCCCGCTCTCCTCCTGCAGCAGGAAAGGCTGGGCCTGGGAACGTACAACATTAGGGACTTTCTGCAGGAGACACGGCCCTCCAGCCTCCGGGGGATCTGCGACACGAGGGAGCAGTGCTTCAGAGATACCCACAGAGTACGTCTCACCCTGACACAGGAGATGCTGGGGAACGGTTCCCACTGGCTGCAGGATTTGGCTCCGGGGTGATGCCTCCAGAGAACAAGCCTTTTGCAAGGGTTAGGAGCTACCATGGGCACCATCTCCTCCTGTTGGGCTGGGGACTGTCCCCCTTGCTGAGGCTGCCCACAGCCACCCCACCACTCCCACAGGACTGCTTCCCTGGCCCCGGCACGTGCGGCCCCCGGGGGAACCCCTACGCCCACCTCGAGGAGAGGAACAAGCGCTCTGCCGGCATGCAAGGGCTGATGGACAGCAGGATGGAGAAGTGTGCCCTGCCGGCAGCCATGGCAAGTTCCGCCTCTTGCCCTGGGGACACGCTGGTGGGGTGGCCCCGTCCCTCCGCTGAGCGCTGCCCTTGCCTCCTTTCCCCCCTGCCTGCAGGGCAGCGGCCTGGGACCCGGCACCTACCACCTGCGGAGCAGCATCAACGAGGGGCTGCGGCAGGCAGCTGGCCCCAGCCGGCTCTTCTCAGGAGACAGGTCGAAGCCCACTGATGGTGGCCATCACACCTTGGAGGTGCGTTGCCCTGGGGCCCGACACCCAGACGGGGTTTGTCAGCGAGCCGCGACACTGCCAGCACATTGCTATAAGGATGGAGAGCTGCCTTACACCAGCATCTGTCCCACTTGGATCCTGCTCTCTGACTTCCCTTGGATCCTGGAAAAATATGCCCACGCAGCAGCGTTTGGGGAGTGAGTGGGCTGCAGGCACTGTGCAGGAAAGCGGGCTGGTGCCCGTGAGCAGCGGCAGGGCTCAGCTCTCACGGCATGGGATGGATGGGGTGGCTCGAGAAACCACTGACAGCTGAGCCTCTCACACCGCTCCCTTGTCCCGGCAGAGGAGAGGCACCGAGCCGAGCACTGGCACTGGCAAGGGTTTCCTGGACGAGCTGACTTTGAAGGAGAACAAGAAGAAAGGCTGCTTCAGCACCCTGCCGAGGAACCCCAGCTGCCCCACAGAGAGGATCTTCTGGGCCACGCTCAGCCAGTGCCCAAGGGAGGAGGTCAGTGGCAGCACGGACATCGGCACCGGCCGGTGTCACCGGCATCCCCGGTGGTGCAGCGGGTGCCTGCGGTGGGGATGCATTAGGCCCTGCGGGGACGGGCGGACGGCTGGCTGGCTGGCTCTCTGACATTGTGCAGCTCTTTTTATGAGCAAACTGAAGCATAACAGGTTTCCTTCTGTCCAGTATGCGGTAGGGCCAGGCTCCTACAACCCCAAGCCCATTGAGAGATCAACGTACTCCAGCCAACCCCCATTCTGGTCGTCTGCCAAGAGATTTGACAGAAAGTCCTACCGCCTCTTCACTGGGAGCGAGGTGAGTGAACGGACAAGGCAGTGAGGGATGCAGGAACAGTCAGGCTCTGAGCTTCCTCCATGCCCATCCCCAATCCATTACCAGCACGCCCGGGAGAGGACGAAACTCTTCTGAGGCAAAGTAAGGGTGGGCACTCCTCACCAGCTTCAGCCAGCTGCGCGTTAGGTGTGTCCTCTGAACGGAGCAGCACCCCAGCAGAAGTCCCACATCGGGTGGTTGGCTGTGACAGCAGGGCAGACTGACCTCAGGAGGTGCTTTTCTCTACCCGTTGATTATCAAGGAAACCTGGGCTACTTGGGCAGATATCCATTCTTTAGAGAGGAGATGAGTCCCTCCCTGGGTGCTGTTGTTCTTGCCCAGAACAGGTTGCTAAAGAATAAATGGCGAATAAAGGCCCACGGCCCAATGTCCTGCCAAGCCAAGGGAAAGGTGCCCCTGCGTACAGCAGCACGCTGAGCGCCCGCCACTCAGCGCACGCTGCCCGTAGGCTGGCGAGCTTGGCTGGTGCTGAACAGAGGGGCAGGAGCTCAGCAGCGACCAAGTTATCTCTGCCTGCATCCTCAGGCCTTTGCCCTTTTCAAGGGATGCTCAGACAACCCCTCCCATTAGTTTTGCTCTGCATCAGCTGCAAGCAAGTGGATGCACTTCATGGATGAGAGCAGCTGGGTGTGAGTCCTTTTAGGTGCCAGGAGCTCCTTGTATCCTCCCAGAAAGTCATATTCTGCTGCTTGAAAGCCAGTTTTTTCCTCTAGCTGTATCAGCAGCACGTTGCAGAGCCAGTGCAGGTAGAAGCCCTTCCCTTAGTACCCGTTCCTGGAGCTGTATTCATCTTGGCAGCTTCCCCATGGAGAACAAGAACAAAGCCTAAAGGGCTCAAAGCAGACAGAGAAAGCTTTAGTCTGAAATAGTCCACCTTGGCTAGGGATGAGGAGCAGGCTTCCACGTGGCTTCTCTCCTTTATCCACCTGAGTGGGGAACAGGCAACTTGAAAGAGGTCAGGGATGAAGACACCTTCATAATTGCTGGGGAACTCGACAGATTAATTTCAGTGGGGAGGTTGTGACATGGCAGCCTTTCACTACAGCTAGGAGTAGGCGACCGGTGAACGTGCTCGAGCCTGCAGAGCTCATCAACTTCTTTATAGATGCTGTGACAAGAAGAACTGCTTGTGAAGGGGACTGGCCAGGCTAGCACCGATTAGTGTGTTTTCTCCTCCCTCCCCTGCAATACAGGCTTGGTTTGGTTAAGATACGCCACATATTGTATTTTGTGCAACTGAAGGCCTGGCCATGTGAAGGCACTACCTGTTTTTGCCCCACTCACATCCCCCATGCTGCCTCTGGATGGGGAAGCGCATGAGACCTTCTCCTTCCAGAACCCTGTAGGTGTTGGTTGCTACAACACCACTGAGCATGAAAAATACCCTCAGAAGATAAGATACCAGTCCCTGTACCAGTGTGATGTGCAGCGGTACCTGAGCAACTTGAAGCGGGATGCCTACCTGCTGTAAGTCTGACAGAGAAGGGGGCTGTAAGTGTTTTCACACTGGCTCACAGGAAAATCATCTTGAGCAGCTCTGGGGAGACAGAGTGCCTGTTACTGACCCTACAACTGATGTGAGATGGGATGATCGCGTAGTTAAGGCGCTGGATTGGGACTGAGACACGCTTGCCAGCCCCACCACAGGTTCCCTCTGTGGACAAGGCGGTTGGTATTGCTGCACCTGTCCCCTCCCCAGAAAGCGAGGAGACCTTCGTGCTTCCCCACCGCATCGGGGTAGTGGGAGGGTTAAAGAACTGCTGGCTCTCAAGGCATTTCACAAGAGCCAAGGTGGTGGTTGTAGCTTGTGAAATGCAATTTGCCTGCAGCAGAGGTGTAGGCAAATAGTTTCCATTGAGTTAGAGGAGGCAGCCTGGGAAGGAACTGGGAGGTGGGTGGATAATCAGGCTGCCTGGACTCATTCCCAGTGCCAGCACTGCTCAACAGCCCCGAACGAAAATCACCTTCTCAGGCCGTGCCTTGGTTTACCCATCTGAGGAAGGAAGATAACAAGGCTCACTTTCACCACAAAGGGCTTTGAAATTGCCAGCGTGAAAGCCCTGTGGAGCTGTTAGGAACCGTACTAATGAGAGACCTCAGGATAGCCCTCCGCTCTCACCTTTGCTGGTGGCCAAGATTAGCAAACTGCTGCAGTGGCACTACGGGCTGACGGCTCTGCGAAGGTCTTTCTTGATCTCCAGAGAGTAGTTAGAAATCGGTCTTGGCTGAATATAACTCGGCAGCTTTCAGCGGGGCAGCCAGAAGTTAGCTATCCTGTGATGGAGAGAGCATAATGAAATCTAGCTTTCAATATTGCCCAGCTTTATTCATTTTGTGCTTCCAGTAGGAATAAAAAAGAAATCTGAACAGTGAGCAGGACTTGGAATTCAAACACATCTCTGATCAAATCGCACTACCTCCAAAATCACTTTTCAAGCTACAGCTTTTAAGACCTCTGTTCACCTCCATGCTCATTAAGACTAATGAGATTAATCCAGCCAATAATTTGAGCCCATTGAATTGCATCCTCTTTCCACAGCGAGCGGCTCAAGCCCGTTGCTAAAAACAACTGGAGTGATTTGATTTCTGCTCCACGTTGTCCAGATACCTCTGAAGAAATCACTGCTGTTTTCCAAGCATAAGATGGTGCTGGGAAGCCCGAATCAGTGAGTAAATGGCAGACACACCAGCGGATGAGACAGAGGAGTTGAAAATGCAGTGTGCTGGCACGCAAGTCAAGAGATAAGAAACAACTCAAGTCTTGTTCTCTGGTAATAAAACACTCTTAGACAATCAGCAGTCTAAGTTTTCTGTTGTGTAATTCATTATTTCCACGTTGGACTTTATGAAAGTGACATGCTTGAGACGACGCCGCCAGAGACCGCATGGCCTCCGAAGGAAGGGCTGCTGGCATGCACCGCTCATTCCGTGTTAAACGCCGCCTTTCCAATGGCGCTACCGAAAGAAGCCGCGCGTACCTGTTACGGTGGTGGTCCCACAGCTGGACGCCCCCAGGCCCGCCAGCGCAACTCAGCAGAGAGCAGGGCCTGAGAAAGCGGTGCTGCGGCAAAGCAGGTGGAGCGCGCAGGCCTTCGGCACCTGCCTACGTACCCGTCCCGTCTTTGAAGCAGCTGCGTGCCAGGGTCTCCATCACGAGCTGTAACACACGGCTTCACTTGAATTGACAATGCAAAGGTTTATAAGCAGCTGGGGGGAATTAGGGGGGATTTAGCATCATCGTTCCGAATTCTGTAGGATATTAAAACGTAGAGGCGACGGAAAAAGTGAAGAGAGAGCTGTGTCAGTGGTAACAGGACAGCCATAAAAATGTACTGGGAGTACGCTGGTTCACTTAGAGTTAACCTTTATATAAAGTCTCATACTAGTGTTTAGACCAGACTGGAATAATTGAATCTAGGTGTAATTACATGTTAGTTGTGGCTGATTAAGTATGCTAATTAATCTGCAATTATCCTTTGGTGGGGGAGATAATTGAACACAGGTAAAACTGCAGTGATTTAAGAAAATAGTGATTATTGTTCTAGAGAGGCAAGCGAAGGAGAAGGAGGGCTCGCAAGGGAAATGCCCGAGCAGCGACGCGGGTGAGCGCAGGGTACAGAAATCCTGCTGGGGCAAGGAGAGGGCTGGGAAACGCAGCGGCAGTCAGGGCCAACACAGAATGGGATTAAAGGAACACAGGGCTTTGGCACCTGAGCTGTGGTTTCAGTGGGCCTGAGGCATCTGGCAGCCAGGATTTCAGGAGAAAGCCCAGGAGCTTCTCCCTGGGAAGAGGGCAAGGGAAGAGGACGCACCAGCTGTGGCCGAGGGAGGGGCAGGAATACCGCCGACTAAGCCTACAGAGCTGCTGCGACAGCGTTTTTCAAGGAAACGGAAGACGTGGATGTGAAACTCCTCAGGCTGAAGAGGGCACTGAATCTTCATCCTCGCTTCTGTGGCTGCTCATTCAAACCAGGGATTAGATTTATTAGCGTGACGTGAGAAGAATGAAGTAGCTATCCATGTCACCGGCTGTAGCACCTACACCCAAAATGGGGTTTTGTCCTCCTCGGACAAAATGTCACAGGGAAAGAAGGGGGTTGGGGGTGGAATCAGGAAAATTGGCATCATGAGCCCATGTGGAGTTAGTGGGGCATAACTGAAGGGTTAAGGCTCAGCTATGAGGTGTTTGTTTTGTACAGGTGTCTCTCGGGCCAGAGATAAGGGCAGACTCACACAGACTTCAAAGACATTCCTTCAAAACTGTTTGCAGCACTAGGCTCCTCATCTCCCCACAGCCCCGCCATGCCCCTGCTCTCTTACCCAGCCAGCAGCTTTCCTCAGTAATTGCTGACCGTTTGTAACAATACAATAAGCAGGAGAAATGATAAACACAGCTGTTGAAAAGTAAGTCATCGCTCATTAAAAGACACCACTTCAAACAGTATGCTGGCTAGATCTTTATTTTAAACAGCCTGTACAACCAAAAATTAAGAGCAACAGCAATTGTGCATGTGTGTGACTGATACAGTTACAGTACCCAATCACATCATACCAAGTTTCCCAATAAATTAAGGAGTGAAAAAACAAATACAGTGCATACCTAAAGATCATCAGTACATAAGTGAGAGAAACACAGCCTAAGTAAGGTATTTGCATACCCTCTGGCTGTTTTAACATTGCCCTTTGAAAGCTAACCAAACCCATTCTTGCTCTGTGCAGAGTATCTTACAAGCACTGGGCTAAATCGTAGCTTTGCCCCAGGGACAAGGAAAGGGCTCTTGCACTGCTTCCTTCCCAGGGGCAGGAGGGCAGCTTACACCCCCAGAACCAGCGTTTGCCTTCCTGTGTACCCCGAGGCCCGGAACGGTGTAGCAGACGCTCCTGGATCACTGACGCAGCTCCATCTCCTGCCCGGCTCCGCGGCTGGGGCAGCAGTGCAGGCGCTCTGCATCGGCTGCATCTCCCCTTGGCAGGCTGCCCTCGCTACCAGTCCCCCGCGCGGGGTTTTAAGGGGTTCCTTATTTGCACGCAATTTGCCCAGCATGCATCACTGAGTAACAGGCCAAACTTATTCTTGTTACTGCTTTATCATTGGTTTCATCTGGACCATAAACATCCATCTATCAATAAATAAAATCATTGGTTTAGCACTCATATAAAAATTACAACGCCTCCCACTGGTAACTGTTTAAAAAGTTCTTCATGTTACGCCCGACGCAAGCCTCAAGAAAATGACTTTCTTCTCCTTCAAGCTCAGTAAGGTTTCAAGTAACTAAAGTACTGCTTGGACAAGACATGGGCTTGCTTTGGAACCGTGTTTCTGGCTACCGGGTCAAAACATTCCCACACTTCTACGCTTGACTGTATGAAGTGCGTGACTGTGCCGTTTTCAGCAGCGAGCAGCAGAAGGAGGAACTGAACAGTACTTGCTGTTGATTTCCTCTCCAGGTGACTGAAACAGTCCTTTTACAAAGCCTATCAATCTAACCCAGCTAAAATGAAAAGCAAAAATGTCACTCGAGTCAGAACCAAAGCCTGTGTGTATCAAGATTCGCAACAAGAGTTCTTATCCACAGCCACTTGCTCTAACAAATCTCACGTAAATAAAGCCTTGACTTCCTTTTCTTACCGGCCAGGACAGAACGGTTTGAAATAACCCACGTCTTCCTCCAACTGAGTATTTATAAGGCACTGAAATTAAGCAACAACCAACCCCCTCCCAAAAAAAACCCCAAAAAACAAAACCAAAAAAATCCAAAGAAACTGACCCACAACAAGTAAAAACTGAAAAGAAAACTTGGCTATACATAATAGCAGCATTTTTTTCAGTAGTCTACGAAGCCAGAACATTGATATTTTGGGGCAAAAAACCAATGCGCTGTTAGCCAATTACAAAGTACCTAAAACCGACATCCGCTTACACTTTATAATCAAAATCAGTATAAACCTGATAGGCACGTGTAAAAAGCATTTTCTTCACACCTCAATGCTCAGTTTGAGACTGAAGCCACCGTTAGGGAGTTTAACTGCTCTGTTGAGATTAAAGTACGGTATAACCCAAGCAGTGTAGTACCACGCAACACCATGCAGCGCTGTACAGCCGGAAGATGACGGTACCATTGCTAAGCTGTTCTACAGGTTACCAACTGGAGGCAAATGTGTTTAACATCACAATTAATTTGACAATGCATTCAGCTTTGGCACCTATTTCTGAACCCTCCCTACCATTTTCAAAAGTAATGTTAAATATAGCTATAGCATACAGCTGGTGTAACTCCAGTATCTTCATCCTTTCCCATTATTTTTCTTATGCTTGGAAATAGGTGAATTCACCTATGTCACTACATTAGATACAAAGGCTAGCACTTAAGATTTCTTAAGAACAATCACTTTGAGTTTGGAAAACTGCTTTTAAAACATACGAAGAAATACTAAACATAAATTTATAAAGCAGAAATTCATACCTTTAAACATCAACAAGAATGAGCTTATTTGGAGAGCAATAAAGCTTTTTTTTTAAAGGATATATTGACTAGCTATAGGTAAATTCATCTTTCCCTGATTGCTTGATTAGATCATCCAGGCTCAGTGCCTCGCAGCTTTGCAGATTTTGTCATACACTTCTGGAAAGGCATCCTTGCAATTCATTTGCTCCCTCAGCTTGTGGTATAACGAACCATCAAACATATCCCAGAACTCCTCACGGGTCATATAGCAATCTGCATACAGCATCTGGAAACTTGAGGAGAAAAAGAAAGGGGAAAAAAAAAAAAGGAAACAGAGATTCAGTATTAATTGCGCCACAAGATTTGAAATAGAATATTTAAAAAAAAATTCAGAGCAAGCTACGAACAGCAAATATTCAACAAAAAAAAACCATCAAAAATGCTTTTTAAAAACAAGCAAATATAATTGCTCACATGGATTATGCTGGGACGCTCGGCCAATTGTATTTTGTGGATTTAACATTACCATAATCGCTCTCCCAAGAGGAGATAACATGTAATGGTGAAAACAGCAGAATACTGCTACAGTCATTTTGGTGAAGGGGAAGATGGGAAAAGAAAGCAATTAAAATAACTGTTGCTTTGGTTCAGAACACTTCTTTAGCCATCAATGTACTGATACTTTCATTAGTTTTGCTACTACCAAGAGAAAAGGAGGACTAAAAAATATGCATAAGACAGTAGTTCACATTTAGACATCCTAACCACGCGCAGCCAAACCTTCTGACAACTCGTATTCTAACAACTTGTGTTCAGAGAAACACAAGTCTAGAGAGAACTTCAAAAGTTGCCCAAATCAAGAGTCTGGCCCCTTGCACCAAAAACCACACATAACCTAAATTCTCCCTGACAAATACTTTTCTAACTGTTTTTTGAAAGCCTGCTTTCCTTTTTCTTCCATTCAAAACCTTTTAATTCCAGCTTCAAAAAAAGGGAAGTATTTTTTCTGCATGCTTTCTTATGATCCATGGAGGCACAGTCATGGCGTCTCATATTAGCTGGCGTTATAAAATGCATTCAAGGCAGATGTAGCAATACATTCTTTGACTTTTTACGGTTTCTTTGAACTGGGCATTGAGAATATAACTAGGAAGGCAAAAGCCTGCCAAATCAGACCAGGCCAAGAAGATAAATTTGTAGTGTAAATGAAGCACAGTGTAACAAAGGTCCATTTACAAAAATAAATTAAATCCTTATTTAGCTGTGGACTCTTCCTTACTTTCACACTGTGCTCTCTAAAGCGCAGTTCACATGAGTACAGCAGTAAAACACAAACTGTTACATAAAAGCTCTATTGTTGTATGCGATTACAAAACTGTAAGATTAAGCATTTATCCATTGTTCATTTCCCAGTGACAGGTAAAGAGACAAAACTTTGTTAGTAAAGAGCTTTAAATTAAAAGCTTAATTTCAAGCTAATTAAAAAAAGCTTAAAATTAACTTTCAGTTGCTTTGTTCTCTGGCCGATCGCTTATTGCAGCTACAGGTCATTTACACTCTCCAAATCATCTTGAAGCAGACTCACCACTGTTACTCAGCCCCTTGGGCTATAATCACTGTTAGACTGAGAAGTAGGTCAAAATAGAAATGTGGATAAATTATACTGATGGTGTAAAAATACCGCGTAGTTGTTTTTTGTTCCTGAGAAACAAGCCTGTAACTGCTTCTTCACTGACACTACTACAGCAAATTAGGTTGGCATGAATCTGTGACAGATGGCAGGCACACATCTCACGCCTACTGCGGTCCTATGTAGTAAGAATTGGGGCAGGGAAAAGGAAGCTATGGAGGTACAAGCTGTGAGGGAGGAAAGACTCCCACCACCGCACAGGGACTGCAGGGAAGAGTCAGGGCTGGCCTCCCCGTGCAAGGACACACCAGCGCAAGGACTGGGCAGAGCTGCGGCGTGACGCTGCAAGGACTGCAGGGAGCAGAACAGTCCCAAGGGCAGGCAGGGAAGCTGTCCAAACTTTAACAGCCTGTGGGATTGCTAGAGGGAGTGCGGCCAACACAGCACTTGCTCTGCCCCGGCCCGAAACAAGTCAGCCTCAGCATGCGAGCTCAGCGGCCGCCTTCCCGAGGGCTGGGCTAGCCAGCCTTGCTGAGTGCGGCCACCGACCCACGCTGACACCGCTTCTGGACAGCAACTGGTTTATGCACAGTCAGTAGAGACTTGCTGAGGTCTTTTTGCACCTGGGTGCATGGATGTATTTCGTAACAGCAGAGGCTCTACTCCCAGAGCAGCCTGGAGCTGAAAGGATGCACAGGTGACCTGAAGCTACCCAGCTCCCAAATGCACGGCAACAACTTCAGCCAGTGAGCTTGGTTGGTTGGTTGGTCATGCAACCAAATAATGAAAGTGAAATCATATTTAAAAATCCTAACATCAAAATTAGTAATTAAAATTAGTTTTCAATCATTGTGGTTGTTAAATTATTGCAATATTAAAGTGCTGTGGGATTAAATAATTGTGATTAAACCACACAGGTGTAAATTATATGGCATCATTACTATTCTAAGGAGCGGGTTCCTTACCCATGCACACTTCTTACAAACTTTTCCATTTGCCTCATTGAAGCCCTGGCTTCAAATTGTTTCCTTTTGGGCTCTCCATAAGCTCCTATATCCACGTAGAGTTCTGTTTCATCCCCTTTTGGGTGGACCATACCAGGATTATTGGGCAATATGAAAGGACATAACCAAAGAGGGTACACCTGCAGAGGTAAGAAAACACTTTATCACTTATTTTTAACGAAGCAGTCCTTTAAGTGATCTCTTAAGAAAGGTGACAAAATGAACGGTTCAGAGGAATTCTTCCCAATTTGGGACTGAAACTTACACAGCTCTTCCTTTCCAATTGTTTTGCTGTGGTTCTTAGCTGCACTTTCTCATGACCGTAACACAAATAGATTGAGATGCTCAGAATATGTGCTCTGTCCTCCTAGAATTACATCTCCTCCCCCTTAAATATTTGAAATGAAAAAAAAAAAACAACCAAACCCAAAACATCCCTGATCCCAAAGCAACAACTGAATATACATTCTGAGTAAAAAGGGAAAGAAGAGTTTTCTTTTCAGGTCAGGCTAAAATTGAGATTGCCAAGTTTTTACTTCTTATACTAACTAAAATAAATTCAGAAATAAAAGCAAGAAAGGGAAATTAATTCCCACAGCTGGGGTTTAGCGAGACTGCCAGTCATTTTAGGTGAAAGAAAAATCAGTTTAAGTATTACGAAGTGATAAAACCTTTTAGAAGTGTCGGCCTTCTACGGAAGTTTGAATCTCACTTTTTTTAAACTCTTTTTTTCAGAAAGCTGTGTTCATTTCTTCTGCAGCCTTGCACCAGACTCGCAAAGCACAGCACTTCCCAGGATACAGTAATGACCTTTTACACAAGCAGACTATTATGTCTTAAGATCAACAGTCACAGTTCCTGTTACACACAGTCCAAGATTCGCTGCATTTTAAAAACGTGTTCTTACATTAAGGTCAGCGTGGAAGGTTTGGATAGATTTTTCAAGGCTCTTCATTGGCACCAACATGTCCTGCACAACATGGTGTTGCTCGTACAGCTTTCGAATAGCTTCTCCTTGGGTGAGTTTTAACAAAGAAATTTTTGGAGGAACCATCCAGCCAAACAGGTAACGGAAAACAGGGTTATTGCCAAAAGGAATGATATCCTTTAAAGAGGAAAGAAAAAAAAGTTGACTTAAGAATGTGTAAGTGAACCGAAAGACAATACTTCAGAATCCTCAGAGCAATATTAAGCCAGATTTTCAATAAATGTAACGGCTGATACTTTTGCAAAACTACTACAATACAAATACGAACAAATAAGAGGCCTGGAGTGAACTTAGCTACACAGCCCTTCCCTAAGCCTCCTCTAGTTACGACGACTGATTTTCAGTCATATGAATCACAGCATACTCAGTCCCAAACACTTTGACAATGAAGTTCAGAGAACAGTAGGCTATTATCTTAAAACAGCTAAGGAAGGATGCATACGAAGCTAAACTTACAGAACTCTTGCAAGAATAAACACATACAAGATCAGTTCTTAAAAGAATTTTAAAGCTGTAAAATTTTGAGTACTTCCTGCAGAGCCAACTCCTGTTTAACCTCTCTGGGAGCTGAAAGGATCCGGTATCTCACTCCAGAGATTCAAAATGTAGCAATGGGAATCTTTCAAAATGCCAAATAAAGTTTTGCGTAAATGCACATCACAACAAACACATTTACGAAATTCAAAGTAATGACCTTACTGCATAATTACTATTCTGAGTTTAGGCAGGGCAAATTTTCAGCCATAATTTCACATTGATGTTTTTTCCACTGTCTGTCTTGGAAAATCACTTAGTAGGTATAAAAGCTTAATGCTGAAATATGTACCTAAGGTCTAAATTCAGAAAAGCACTAAAACAGAAATTAGGAGGTGATGATATAACACCTTATATATGAAGAAGTGCCGTTGGATTTGTTTTGCCCAAATGCGGGACTTTTAAATTTGCCATAAACTTCACTGTTTTCTTCTGTCATGAAAGACAGAAGTGTTGCCAAGGGGAAGAAGGTACACTGTACCTACACTTGGAAAGAGCAGAGTACCTTCCTGCAGTTGTTATTTTAATTTTGGAACTGGTCTTACTTGGAGCTCCCAGAAGATACTGCGTGTATGTCTATGGTAATAATGTCTTGAGGGAATGTATTCTACTCCAGTCCTGTCAGATTTCAAATATTTCTCCACATGCTTAAAGAACCATGGCTTGTAGTAGTTGCCAATTCTGTTTATCTGCAAGAAAACACGCATTCATTAGCAAACACCAACACAGTAACAGTTATGCCTTACTAGACAACATTACGTATGTCCCCAAATTCCTTTACTGTGAAGAATCAGTGTTACACCCTCTGTGACAGTTTGAATGAGACTGTCACAAGAGATCCAGGGAGCCTTCATTTCTCCACATGCATGGCTCCTTCTTACCTTTCTTGCCATTAAGGTTTAATTTAAAGAAGGCTTGCTAAGGCTTGCCTGTTACAAGCTAATTGAATGAAATGACCATGAATGTGACAGAACCGGATCCCTAAAATACCAATCTCTCAACCCATCATTAATCCAAATTCTCATTATGGCAGAGGAGAAATAGCCAGGTTGAGGGATACAGTGAACAGTTAGCATGTCCCTCCTGTAAATGTCCCTGATGTGCTTTACCAATAATAACTTTATTAAAAGCTTGCTGGGAAAAGAGTTACTGTGAATAACTGCAGTTTAAAACAGCATTGTTCTGCATATGAGAAAAGATACTCCTCTTCCTCCTTAGGGACTGCAATGAAAAGGCTGTAGACTAAATTATTTGCTAGAATAATGAAATCAGTGGCTCATTTCTTATCAATTGAAGAGATTTAGAGTACAGGCTCTGTTGTAGTAACAAAGAGCTATAATTTAAAATATTCTGATTGGCAGATCTAACTTTTAATCCCATGTTAAGAGATTGTTGCAATCTTACGATTCTTGTTTTACATTGGCATATAGTACAGCTTCGGTTAAACTTTGGGGGTATTTTTTTTCTTTGTGAGTAACTTCCCTTTAGTTACCTTGCTTTGCTCAGCTTCATCAGTCAAGACTCCTGTCATGATGACTGCTTCTTCCAAAGAATACACAAGTCCTTCCACAAAATTATTCTCCTTTTTCTTAGATTCCTCAGTAAACTTCTCACAAATCTTCTGCAGTCCTCTCACAGGCTCATAATGTATTTTGACATATTTCTTGGCAGGAATCATTTGTATTTCTGCTGCAACCAGGAAACCCAGAGTACCACAAGACCAAGGCACTGCATAAAATAGGTCTGAATTTTCAGTCTGCAAAAAGTATGTCATACTAAATCATATATCCATACCGATAACTGTCAACGACATTGTAAATGATAGCAAAATAACATTTTGTCTTACTGGTGAGCATCTCACAAGGCTTCCATCAGCAAGAACAAGTTCATAGGCTACGCAGGTATGTTGAAAAAGTCCATATATATGGGATGAAGACTCAATGCCAGTTCCCATGATCAGGCCACCTTATCAAGAGAGCACATAACAAATTAAATGAAACACACTCCAAAATGAAGGTGGTTCACGAGAACAAAACCTCACTTTTAAGCTCTGGGGGTGACTTTTAAGACTATTTAAAAAAAAAAAAAAAAAGGAAGGGCTTATAAAAACCACAACAGAACATAAGGTTCAACAGAGTATTTCCAGAACCCTTAAAATAATGCAACATGTCACTGCATAAAAAGCAAATGCAAATGCAGCAAAATCAGTGAGTCTCTTGTCATCACAACGACCCTTACCTACTGTAAGATCATCAAGCTCTGGTACCACAGGAATAGTCCAGCCCATGGGATTCAGGTGTGCAGTCAACTGGCCCATGGTCACCAAAGGTTCCACACGAACAACCTAAAAAGCAAAAAAACCCAATTCCCCCCACCAAACATAAATTAAGTGTTCAGCATTAATGATGACAAAATATGGCTAACTGGATTGTACTTCCATCTGTTATCAGAATTCAGTGACTTACTTTCCTAAGAGCACTACTAAAAATAGTTGAAACTGTTTAGTGATTCCTCCTCTGCCTCAACATCTTGTTGCTCAGTCCCCAAAACCATGAATCAATCTGGTCTTTTAGACTTCAGCACATAAAAGCTAAGCAATTCCATATGCTGGTTTTTTTTGATAGAATGATCCAAGCACACATTGTAAAACCTGAAATTTGGTGGGTCTACTGCTACAAAAATCTTTTGTTCTTTATGGAATCTAATCTCCTCATCAGCTACACATACGGTAAAAAAAAGCTGTAAACTTCTTTATTATGACAGCATTGTGATGAATTTGTTTACCTGTCTTTCACTGTCCACTTCCAGAACATCCATTAAATTGATCATGATGTTCTTATGAGTCTTCTTATACTTTCCAACACGAAGTGATACAGTCAACCAGCCAGGCCGGCCAGTGCACATGTATCTTTTGCTGCCTTCATTTTTCCATTCCCGAACCTGCAAGAGGTAACAACTGAACTGATGCTGTAAGGCATACACATGTCGTCAATAACGTACACCAGAAGCATTTTTTCCCTCGCTGTGAAAAAGCATTCAGAAATATTGTTACTCCTCTACATGTATGTTACCTGCAAGTAACAAAGCCTGGATGTCACTGCGTTGAGTAGCAACACTTTGAAAGTCTCTCTGCAGACCTCTGAACTTCTAAATAAAATACCACCAGAGGGGCCTAGTTATGTAGAGGAAGCATTTCTAATACCCCGTAGCTTTTGGGTTTTTTTGGAGATGGGATTCAGGAAACTAGAATGAAAGTTTTAAAAATCCACAGGAAAACCTGTACTCGAAGGGAGGTATTATTATCACTGTCATAAATAATGTCAGTTCCTTGAAGGGTAATGAAACAATGCCTCCTCCTAGACACACTGAAAAACGGTCTGAGCCTGCAAATGAATGGGCAAAGAGAGAAAAGCTGAGAAGGAAAATGTGTAAGCCATACACATGATCCACGAATTTTGCAAAGCCACAGTGGTTAACATTTGGAGAACAAACATTAATTGTAGCATTTTCTTCAAAGCTCAACTGCTACTACAGCTGGTGATAAAAAACCCAACCCCAAACCCTAAAAGAATAACTCCATGCACATTAATATCCATCTGTATCTGCAATGAACATGAGAGTCAAGGAAGAAAACAGAAGCAGACGTGACAGAATTACCACAAATACTAGAGAGCACAGAAACATTAAAGACATCTGCATTTCTCGGCGGAAGACAAGTTTCAGCTCCCCTTCAATCATCTCTTGGAACTAACAGTGCCGGGAAGCGGGATGTAAGTGGCGTTAAAACACGGTACTAAGGTAGCCGCTCAAAGACTAAGGGTTTCACGTTACACATGCGCACACACGAACGTGCCCGAAGCATGTGAGCGTACCGAGACCCACGGCACACCTCTACGGAGGTTACAACGACAGCCGCATCCCGACTTGCCAGCTGTTGACGCCGCAACTTCGAGAGGAGTTTCAGACGGGGAAGAAACAAAAACCCCACAGGGGCAGGAACACCCGCTGGCTTTTATTCGTTTGCTTTTCCCCGCTCCGGCT